GGTCATAAACTACTACAAGACCGTTTCAGGCTGGACATAAGGAAGAATTTCTTTACTGTCCGAGCCCCCAAGGTCTGGAACAGCCTGCCACCGGAGGTGGTTCAAGCGCCTACATTGAACACCTTCAAGAGCAAACTGGATGCTTATCTTGCTGGGATCCTATGACACCAGCTGACTTCCTGCCTTTTGGGCAGGGGGCTGGACTCGATGATCTTCCGAGGTCCCTTCCAGCCCTAATGTCTATGAAATCTATGATATGATGGAATTCCAGACCCTGAGACAAGGAAAGCATGAGGTCAGCAAAATTAGGACACTAGCTTTTAAAAAGGTGGATTTCATCTGACTCAAGATGCTAATAGGCATAGTGTCATGGGAGGACAGATTGAAGGATGAAGGTGCCCAGGAGGGCTATGAGCTTCTAAGGGGCACAGTATTGGAAGCCCAACAAAAAACTGTCCTGACATGATGGAAGCATAAGAAGAATGGCAAGAGACCAATGGGGCTGCACAAGGAGCTTCTAAAATACCTCAAAATGTAAAAGGAAAGCATACAGGCAATGAAAGAATGGGCAGGCCACCAAGGATGTGAACTAGGAAATAGCAAGAATCTGCAGGGACAAAATCAGGAAGGTGAACATAAAGAATGAGCTGAACCTGACAAAGGAGATTGTAGAACCTCTTCAACTTGTCCTTAAATATGTTGGCCAGAAATGAAGGGCCAAAGAAGCTGTGGGTCCCCTGTTAACAAGCCAGGAGGGAACACCTACCTGGAGATGCAAAGAAGGAGGTGCTACTCAACTGTTCCTTTGCCTTGTTTTTTCACAAAAAATTAAGCTGCAGCCAGGCACCTAATAAGGACTGGATAAGGAAGGGAGCAAGCTGAGTGAAGAGATAACAAAAGAAATGGTCAGAGAGCTTTTGTTGGGTTTGAATGAACTGCAAGCCAGCAGGTCAAATAAGCTTCATCCCTGAAGGAACTGGAAGAGGAAATCTTGGAGCCCTTGTCAATGATCTTCCTGGGGTCATGGGAGACAGGTCAGGTTCTACAGGACTGAAAAAAGGCCTCTTTAAAAAAGGCAAGAAGGAGGACCTGGGGAGCTATAGACCAGTGACCCTCACCCCAGTACCTGTGAAGTTACTGAAGCATAGCCTAAGAAAGGCCATCTGTAAGCATCTGGAGGAGGAAAGGCTGATCACAAGCAGCCAGCATAGATTTGCGAAAAACAAATCATGTAAAAAAACCCAAACCAACAACTTGATCTCTGTCTTTGACAAACTAACTACTCTGGTGGATGAAGGGAATGCTGAGGCTATAGTATATCTGGATTTCAACAAAGTTTTTGACAAGGTCCTGCATGACCTTCTCATAACGAAATTGGAGAAATTTGGGCTGGATAAAATTACTATAAGGTGGATCAATAACTGGCTCAATAGCCACAAGCAATGGGTAATTATTAATGGGTCCATGTCAGAATGGCAGGAGGTTTCAAGTGGAGTCCCACAGGAGTTTATCCTGGGCCCAATGCTGTTCCACATATTTATTAGCAATTTGGATGCTAGCATAGAAAGCGTCTTGAGCAAGTCTGCAGGAGACACAAAACCAAGACTACAAATGTGTTGGAAGACAGGAGTGCAATTCAGAGGGCTCTTGACATATTGGAAAGCTGGGCTGTAACTAACAGGATGAAGTTCAGTGAGGACAAATTCAAGGTGCTACACCTTGGGAGAAATAATCAAAAACGCAAATACAACATGAGTGACTGTTGGGTCACCACTGGGGAGAGGTGTGTGCCTTCACCCCCCACAACAGATGTTTGCTGGCTTTCTCCCACGCTTCGTGCCCTCTCCCAGCTGGCTTGGGGTGGCTCTCCCTCTCTTTCCCTCCTATTTCCCCCCCTGCCACAACTTTTTTTTTTTTTATGGTTTTTGCAGATATAAAGGAAGGGGGAGAGGGAGGTGCTGACATCACTGCCCCATTCACCACCAGTTGCTGGTTCATGCTTAGATCTCCATGCCGGCGAAGAAAGAAAAACAAAAAAAAAAACAAACGGCAAATGAACTGAGAAACTGGAAAGAAAATTTATTGGACCCTCTGGGTCCCTTTCCAGGTTTGTCAGGGTCCAGACAACTTCTTCTATTGAGTCAGTCTTCCCTCAGACAGCTGAGCCTTCCCTGTTAGGGGTGGATTGGGTCTCCTCTTCACTTAAATTGCTGCCATGCCTGGCTTGATCGCTAGTTGGAGGCAGTTAATCAGTGCAAGGCAAACTTTGGGAGGGAGCATCTGCCTCTTTCTCCCTCTTCCTAGTCGACCCCTGCCACGTCCGGGCCAGTTGACTGCCGGAGGGGAGCAAATTAACATCCCACAAGGAAAGAAAAAGAGGGAGCTGGGCTGGGTCCAAAGAAACACCCGCACCTCTTGTTCTTCCACCTTGATTGCTGCCGTATTTGGCTTGATTGGAGAGTGGCAGTGATTAATTAACACTTAAACAAAAAAAAAATTGAGCTGGGGAAAGAGGGCCCACTCTCTTCTCCTGTTCTCTCCCTCCCTTGGATGGGGATTCCTCCGAGCCTTCGAGCCTACCAGTCTCTTTCTCACTCCTGATGCTTCAGTCTCAGGTGGGATGCAGTCATCCTTTGATCTGCCCACCGGCTTCCAGTTGTTCCTCTCCCTCCAGCCCTCTGTTCAGCCCCAGCCACTGCGATCCACAAATCCGCTTCACCTGGTGAGGTTTTAAAGCAGATCTGGTGCATGCCAGCAGCTCCTGCTGTAGCATGGAGACTTTATTCATGTTGGTCTTGAGCTCACAGCCGGGGGGGATGCCCCGGGTAAGTATCCCCCGTTCTTTCACGGTGACACATGCCATGTTGGTAGCGCTATTGAAAAGGACCAGGGTGTCTTGGTAGACCACAGATTCAGTATGTGTCTACAGTGTGATGCAGCTGCACAAAATGTGAATGCAGTTTTGGGATGCATCAATGGAAGCAATAAGTGCAAGACATGGGAGGTAATACTGCCTCTCTACTTGGAACTGGTTAGACCTTATCTGGAGTACTGTGTACAGTTCTGGGCTCCACCTTTTAAAGAGGACAAGGAAAAGTTAGAGAGGGTCCATAGATAGGCAACAAAGATGATCAAGGGCTTGGAAGGCAAGTCATATAAGGAGACACTGAAGGAGCTAGGCATGTTCAGCTTGAGGAAAAGGTGCTTAAGAGGGGACATGATAACAGTCTTCAAATATCTGAAGGGCTGCCATAAAGAAGAGGGAGAACACCTTTTATCTCTTACTGCAGAGAGAAAGACTCAGACCAATGCCTTGAAGCTGCAGCAAAGTTTAGATTGGCTATCCAGAAAAACTTCTTTACTGTTAGAACAGGGAGGCAATGGAATACTGTTTAGTGTCCTGGCACTGTCTAGGGAAGTTGTGGACTCTCCATCACTGGAGGTTTTCAAGAAGAGCTTGGACAGCCACTAGTCAGGGTTGATCGAAGCATAGGTATGCCTATGTTCTACCATGTGT